TGCACGTTTTTCCCGGGGAAACGGTTTCTCGGTTGCGATCTCACGAAGCTTGGCTGCCGGGATATCGGAGAGTAGTCGCCCTTATACGAGAAAGCGGTAACGGAGATTCCGAAACGTTCGAACCGTTCCCAACCCCCATTCTCCTTTCCAGACTCGAGCCGTTCCAGTCTCGAACTTGGAGGCGCGCAGTTAGACGGTCGCTGGACCCTCGATGCAATGCATAACGGGTGAACCGTGAAACAGGATACCATTTTAACGTTCGAAGTGTAGATACAGAAAACAATCGAATTTATTGCAGGAAAAGGGTGATACCATAAAAGAGCTTAGATTCGAAATTCGAGAATTGCTTAACTTACAGATGATAAAGAATTTTGAGAAAAGATTGAAAAAATGCCGGTATTTATGTATCTCTATATATTTATAATTTGGAACTCTTAATGACTTGTTTCTTTTTTCGGTTTTCACATTTAACTAAAAAGAAACCGCGTTTAATAAGCATAGATCCAAAACTTCTTTTTCACGGTTTACCCGATATATCGTTTCGCCAACAGCAGCGCGAAAGGAAGAGACGGCGAGTGCCGCCCAGCGTGGAAAACGGGGTTGGGGCCATCGAGCAATGTCGTACGGGGTGTCTCAAAAATCACGTATTTTCTCTTAACTACATACATAGATTGAACTAAGAATGATGCAGGTATATATATTTTAATGTGGAAGCATGGGCAATCGAAATTTAGATAAACTAAATTTCAGAAATAAAAAAATCTTGATAACTTTAACGTTTAAACAAACCTTATGCGAAATATAAATTCGGGATCAAATTAAATTCTACTTTCAGACAAAATCGCTATCAATCACTATAATTTTCCGCAGGAAAAAGATAGCAGAGAAAAAATCCGTGATTCTTAGGACACCACGTATACAGGGCGTGAGGGATACGATGCCTCAGTTCGTGCGGTTGCTCACTTCTCTTTCTCTTTCTCTCCTGCCTCTCTCTCTCTCTCTTCCTCACCATCTCACCACCGACATCCCTGAAAGGAGATGGCGGGCTGGCGCGAGAGGGAAGGAGAAAAAGAGTGAATCAAGCGGAGTGCGTGCCGGAGCCGGGAGCAAGGGGGCTAAGGGAGAACGGAGAGGACGGTGAGTGGAGAACCGCGCTACTGCCGTGACATCCGTATCCATCTGTATGCCGACCTGACGCGGAGACGTGCCGTGTCTGTGTGCGCATATACGTGTGTGTGGGTATGTGAATGTGTGCCTGTATGTGTGTGTACACGCGTGCGAGTGTCGATACGCTCACGTGCGCGCGTAGCGGCTGTCTGCCGCTGCTGGAGGCGCCGGCAGTTTGATGGAGGTGGCAGGCAGCGGGACTGCGGTATGACGTGATGCCGTGACAAGTGAGGAGAGAGAGAGAGAGAGAGAGAGAGAGAGGGAGGGAGAGGGAGAGAGTGGCGGAAAGAGAAGAAAGTGGAACAGGAAATAGACTGAGTCGGGGAAAATTGAGGAAAGAAATTGAGGGGAAAGGAAAGAAGCAAAGTGTAGTAGATCTATTTCACGTTTTAATCCAAGCTTGTATCAAGTGTTATTATTTATTAGACGCACAGTGGGCCAAAACGGCAATCTAGCTGGACAAAAGTCGATTTTTGAAGATTAATATTTCTTAAAATAAACGATTATATTTTTAAGAAAGATATCTGATAGTTCATTTTCTACAAAATATTTACTATTTACACTTGTAGTTGTGTTATAACAATCATTTGAATACGTCCTATAAATGTCATCTCGCAAAACGTTAAATCATTACCTTAGCAGCGCTTGAGAAAGAAAGAAGTA